ATTTTGCCTGTCAAAGAGCAGGAAACATCGTTGTTAGGAAACCTCTGCACTAAAAAACCAAAAGTGAAAATGAAAGATAGAAAAACCTGGGTTTAGTGATACTGTTTACCGATAGGTGAGGATCTTGAATGACCAGAAGCCAACTGGAATATCAGAAAAACTATTGCTGAGTGGCAATATGTAGTCATTCAAAAGCGAAGAACTGCAAGGAAAATGGGCTTTGCTGCTTTGTCTTTGTTGGTGAATAAAACCATTTGTCACATTAGAATGAATATTCCCTCTCCAGGTCTCTAGTCTTTTGAATTCACAGCTGGTGTTTTGATGTTTTTACCTTTCTCTGTTTTACTAAGACAAGTTAAATTTCTAAGACAAGTTACAGATGGTGAAGAAAAAGGGGGGAGAGGGAGGAGAAATATATACAACTCTTTGAAGAAATTGGTTTTGTTGTCTTTGTTGTTATTTTTGTAGTTTTCTACCTTCCTTTAGACCCAGTGGCACAAAATTGAGTAAAACACACTCCTTCAACGGCACATCATCATCACAGTCTGGACAAGGCTCTGCTTTTGCTTTATATTATTTTATTATTTTTTTAAATTTCCTATCCTCTCTTTATTTCCTTCCCCTCTGTGCATCAACTCATGTGCATTTTAAATATATATTCTTCCCTTATACTTTCCATATAGTTATTTAGAAATATAGATGTATCCTTGAAATATATACAGTTGACCTTTGACAGGTTTGAACTGCACAGGTCTACTTATACGCAAGGTTTCTTCAATAAATACTGTAAATGTACTTTCTCTTTTTTATAATTTTTTTGAAGTTTTCTTTTTTTTATTAAGGTTTATTGGGGTGACAATGGTTAGTAAAGTTACATAGGTTTCAAGTGTACAATTTTGTAATACATCCTCTATATATCACATTGTGTGTTCACTAACCAGAGTCAGTTCTCCTTCCATCACCATATATTTGATCCTGTTTACCCTCATTTACCACCACCACCACCCCGCACACCCCTTGCCTTTGGTAACCACTAAACTGTTGTCTGTGTCTGCGAGTTTTTGTTTCTTTATTTGTTTGTCTTGTTCCTCTGTTGCTTTCAGTTTTATATCCCACATATCACTGAATATATGTGTTCTGATGGTTATTGCAGCTTTATAATTTTCTTTTAAAACAAAAAGATTTTTTATTGGGGAATTGGGGAGGGGAACAGTGTTGGGGAATCGAAGAAGGGGAACATTGTGTTTTTCCAGGACCCATCAGCTTCAAGTCAGGTTGTTGTCCTTCGATCTTAGCTCTAAGTCCAGTTGCCGCTTTCAGTCTAGTTGCGGGGAGCGTACATAGTCCATCATCCCATGCGGGAGTCGAATTGGCAACCTTGTTGCACACTGAGCCATCCGGTTGCCTGTCAGCAGCTCGTGGCTGCTCAGCTCAAGGTGCTGTGTTCAATTTTAGTTACAGGGGCGGGGGCGCAGCCCACCATCACATATGGGTGTCGAACCGGCAACCTTGCTACTAAGAGCACATGTTATCATCAGCTCAGCGGCAGCTCAGCTCAGGTGCAGCTCACTGACCCATGTGGGAATCTAACCGCCGACCCTGTTGTTCAGAGCTCGCGCTCTTAACCAACTGAGCCACTTAGCCAGCCCTTCTACTTTTCTTTTTTTTTTTTTAAAGATTTTTATTGAGGAATTGAGAGATGGGAACAGCACTGGGGAATTGGGGAAAGGGGAACAGACAAGTTGCTGTCGTTTTGTTCTTCAGTCTAGTTGTGGAGGACGTTGTTTCACTGGCCCAAGTTGGCACCATCATTGCACTCTTTCCGGGCGAGGCAGATCAGTCGCCGGCTTCTGGACAGCTGCTCACGCTGGCTGCTGGCTACATACGGTAGCCCATGGCAACCCACTGCAGCAGTCGCCGGAGACTCACAGCAGCCCAGCTCCAGGTTGAGCTGTTGTTCATCATCTTAGCTGTGGAGGGCAGTGTCACTGGCCCTCATATGTGGGATCCGAACCAGGGCCCTCTGGAGTCCCAAGCCAACTCTTAACCAACGCACCACTCGGCCGGCCTCCCTTCTACTTTTCTTAATAGCATTTTTTTTAGCTTACTTCATTGTAAGAATACAGCATATAATACACGTAACATACAAAATATGTGTTAATCGACTTAATGTTATCGGTGAGGTTTCCAGTCAACAGTAGGCTATTAATAGAAGTTTTGGGGGAGCCAAGTTATACACAGATTTTCAACTTTGCAGGGGGAATAGTCCGGCCCTCCTAATGCCTGTGTTGTTCAAGGGTCAACTATACAATGTTTGGCTGTGCATGAGTCTATGTATATTCTTAACTTACACCGTAGAACTGTGATTTATAAATCTCCTTTTGTTTCTTTTGTGAGTCACCACTGTTTTTGAAATCTATCTATATGTTGCTCTTTGAAAACCTGTCTCATTAGTTGTGCATGCATAGTTCTCTAGGCTATGCACATCCTTCATTCTGCTTATCCAGTCCCCTAGTGATACATGTGGGATGCTTCTAGTTCCCCACTATCCCAAGAAATGCTGCAGCGAACATCCTACAATGTGTCTCCTCACCAACAAAGGCAAGAGACTCTCTAAGTGGGCTTGTAGCATTGCTGATTTCATAGGTCCTATCAGGTGGCTTGCCAGGATCCTGCACAAGTTACATTTCCCACAGCTCACAGCATGATGTGTGCCACTTCCTGGCCAATATATAACTTGCCTGTCTATGATGTACCAACACTTGATATAATCAGACAGTCTGAGATTTGCTAATCTGATGTGTGTAAAATGGTACCTCATCGTGGGTTTCACTTGCATGTCTCTGGTTACTAGTGAGGTTGCTCCTATTTTCATGTACTTACTAAACAAGAATTATTTCCTAAATGTCTACAAGTTACTGGGAAAACTGTGGGAGACCAGCTCCCGCAGGGTCCAGGGGTTCCCTCAGGTGGAGGCGGAGTCGGTGAGGAAAATGAAGAAAGACGCGCGGAGACACCGGAGCACTTTTTCAAGAAGAGAAGTGTCTCGCTTTATTTTACAGCATGCCCCTTTTTATAGTTGACCACTATCTCATCAGTAACTGTGTTTTAATCCTTTTTACCTATAATGACTATGTGACTAAGGCTAATCCTTTTACCTATAGTGAAGTGACTATGTGACTAAGGCTAATCCTTTTACCTATAGTGACTATGTCTACTCAACCATTATCCTAAACACTATTAGTTAAGCAGGATCTTAAGATGTATACGGTGTGTACTTTGACCTTTACTAAGAGACTAGTAGTGTGACTAAAATTACCTTTAGAGTATAAAATAGAATTATTGTGATATATCTATTAGAATGGGTGTAAGATCTTCGTCCTACTGGGGGGCATCCAAAGGGGAATTTAAATCTTTTAAGATAAAGCGGTATCTGTTTCTCAGTCAGAGCTTCAGAATTTGTCACAATTGCAGTGTGTTTGGCCATGTCAGATACTGAGGCGCAGCCGGCTCCCGGCAGAAAACAGAAGGTATCAGTACAATTTTGTGAGTGCAACTAATGTTATGACCAGTATTTCTCATATGATTGCTGAAATATTTATTGGAAATGGCTGGGAATACTATATATTTGATATGTCAGAATTGCAGTTAGCAGCTTTTAAGTAATTTCCCAAAGTCTAACCTTGCTTTCTCCGTCTTCGGCATTGATTCTTCAATGCCATAATGGGTGCTGTGCTCATCTCTGGCTACTCAGATCCTCTGAGGACTCGGAAGAAGGCTTAGAAATAAGAGGCTTGGAAAGAGGAGGCAGTTATAGAAAATAATGTAGTTTGTTGCTTTTCCTGGGGTAATAAAAATAAAAACACTTTTAGTGGAATGATACCCTCTTTTTTTGGGTTCAATGTTACCCTTCCAGGTAATTTTCTCTCCAATTATCCTCTCTACTCTTGTCTGACTCCACCTAGCAGGGGAACTGCCTGTGCCAGAGAGGGCAGGTAGCTTTCATCTCATGTGCCAGCTTGATTTATTGGCAGTAGCAGCCTGGAACACAACTTGAGAGGCAGAGTGGAGATTCATCCTCTCTTCTGCAATTCCTTCACTTACTGGCACCTCCATTTCACTGGGGAGGATAAGGTGGGGAGACAGGAGTGGCTCTCCTATGACATACACCCTTATGACATTATGACTCCCTTAGGAAATCATCTCTGGATAACCTTTTGTTATGACTTTCTATGGTCATGACTTATCTTGAATCAATTTTGGAATCTATGCATCCATTTCCCCATCTGGGTCCTTTCCAGGTAACTCTAAGGAAAAAGCAATCCAGAGTTTATAATTGTCATATGTATTAGAAAGTTCAAAGACATTGAAATAGTGCTCCACAATCTCTTCAAAATTCTGGTTCCAAGTGTTAAAAAAGGTTTCCTTTTTTATTTTTTCCCCCTGTGAAGCCACCACCTATCAAAAACATGACCCCAGGGCCGGCCAAGTGGTGCAATAGTTAAGAACTGTCATAGGATGCCAGAGGGCCCCGGTTCGGATCCCACATATGAGAGCCAGTGACACTGCCCTCTACAGCTAAGATGCTGAACAACAGCTCAACCTGGAGCTGGGCTGCTGTGAGTCGCCCGTGACGGCGTAGGCTGCAGCCCCTGCTGCAGTGGGTTGCCATGGGCTACCATGTGTAGCCAGCAGCCAGAGTGAGCGGCCAGCAGCCGCAGTGAGCGGCCGTCCAGAAGCCGGCAACTGATCTGCCTCGCCCGGGAAGAGCACAATGATGGTGCCAACTTGGGCCAGTGAAGCAACGTCCTCCTCAACTAGACTGAAGAACAAAAGGACAGCAACTTGTCTGTTCCCCTTTCCCCAATTCCCCAGCACTGTTCCCATCCCCCAATTCCCCCCCAAAAAAATCTTTTAAAAAAACATGCCCCCAAAGCAATGGATTGCCATAACATGTTGGTATTATCTTCCTAAATTCCTTTTCTCATTTCACAATATAGGTCATAGAGAAGAATGCTGATCCTGAACTAAGTTTACTACTCTACCTGAGGAAAGTTCGTATCCTTATGTTTTACTGTCGTCAATCTGGATTGGGTGGTAAAAAGTGAACATGCTAAGACTTCTGAAGAAAGTCACTGGTATTTTCTCTAGGTAAATAACCTTGTGTTCAATTTGTCGAGTCCAGTTGGAGTTCAGAGAATGCACCTGAAAGTGATAGATTTGTACTTTAGTTGTATTTTTCACCTAGGCAAAACCAAAACATCCCCTCTAGTGAACCACAAGTGTGATAACTGTAAAAATAACTTTAGAATTTTGAGCCCCATAGTCAACCTGATGACAGTTTCATATTCAGGAGTGTGAACGTAAAAATGTCCAGTCAATTGCTCAGGGGTGCATATAATTGACAATATTTTTCCACAAGGGCATTTCCTTGACTTATCGCCTATTCCTTTTCATAATCCTTATTGGAGAAAACAAAGTTTTAGAAAAATATTTCAAAATTGCAAAGTGTAGCAAATGCACTCCCAGATCTCCAACTCGGATCTGGACTTTTTCACTTCTCACTCCTCTAAGACCTTCAGTAGACCTTCAATAAATATTCAAAAAGAAATTCTTGGGTTTGGTTGCAACTATAAAGGCGTAGCACGGAGTGATTGTGGCAGTGGTTACACAGATCTATTTATGAGATAAAATTGCACAGATGATATGAGTGCATGGATAAATGGTAAAATCTGAGTAAGCTCTGTTGTCTGGCTATTAGTATAGTACTGATACTACACTAATAATAATAGGAAACCTTAGTTTTCTGGTTTAGATATTGTACTATAGCTATGTGGGATGTCATCATGGAGGGAAGCTGTGAGATAGGCACACAGGACTGCCTGTACTATTTTTGTAACCTTCCTGTGAGACTATAATTATTTCAAAATAATAAGTTTAAAAATGTATATTTATTGAGTACCTATTAAGAGCCAAGCACCATGTTAAGCTCTGGGGGTTCTGTGATATACAAGACAACATTACCCCCTCTTTCTCCAGGATCTTCACTTCCTTCCTCACTTCTGTCTTTTTGCCTCCCAACATACACACCCAAAAACACTACTTCATTTCTGCCTGTTCTTTCCTTGCCAAATGTATCTAATAAACTATGTGTACCTGATGCCTCATTCTCTATTTAAGCCCTTTCAATCTGGTCTCCTACCCCATCATTTTACTACCCTAGCCAATTTTATCTGCTACTGTCCTTATTCCACTCACTATTCCAAGAACTGGGCTTTTAGCTAGAAAACAAAGAAAAACAAAACACAGGCCAAAAGCTCCCTCACAGATTCCACCATCTCCCATTAACCAGCTTCAAAATTTCACTGTTACTCAGCACATCCTATCACTTCCCTTTTATACTACTTCTAAATCTACGACACACTTCACCATGCTCTCTCTGTACATCCTAAAAGGAAGAAATTCATCTATATTAGGAACAAGCTGAAAAGTCACGGCCAAAAGCAGCTCTAGGCAGAATCACCCTAGCCTCCCATCTCCTCATCTCCCCTGTGTCCTCCTCTTTCCATTCCTTTCTGGTGCCTATTATCATAAATAAGTTGTTCTGAGTAAATAAGACTCAACTGAGACTTCCAGGCTCCACCCTCTGATTAGAGAGTCAACAGTTCTGGGATGGAGTCAGAGGCTTTATTTCTACAACTTGTTCCTCAAGTAGGTGGTTCTCATGAACATTTGTGGATAACCACACAGATTTTCTGCCAAAGTCAACCTCCCCATCAGCGCACACCAGCACCTGGGAGGGGCGGGGATTATATATATTATTTGTTCTCCCTTTGTGAAAATATGCAAGCATCTTACAGGGGAAAGTAGGCAATGGTTGTTGACATCACCAGCTTAGGAACCATGGTTATTAAATAAATATCCTCTAATCCCAGTAGAAGGTTAAAGCATTACATTGCTGAATCAGGGAAAGGTGACCCTCCCAGGGGGATTTTTCTAAGTTTCACACATGCTTCACCTCCACAGCAATAAGGCAACGAGAGTCTAGCATCCATTGTCCACGTCTCTGAATTCAACAGGCTTTTTCCTACCTCATTTTTATGCAAATCCTGATCTAACTAGCAAGACACTCTCACGTATCCCAAGTAGTGTGAATATCCAGATGGCGCACTGCAGAAATAGTAATGTGTTGGATTACAAGGTGTTTCCCTAGCCCCACTTGGGAGTGCTATCTTATTTTGCATTTAGAAATGCCTCTGGCTCTGAGGGTTTCAGATAAGGCAATGTGGGTCTGTAAGGATTTCTTCTCACCTTTATTAAAGAGCTCATTTACATGCAAAAAGTGGAATTCTCTTTTCAGAGTTTCTGAGCAAGAAACTTTGGTACCTTCAACCCAAGAGAACGTGTTACTGTGTTGCTCGTTACCATCATCCGAGGCAGAAAAGTGTGAGAAGCAAAGGGGCCTAAGCCGTTTTCCTTGACTGCCTTCCTTCTAGTCCACCTCAAAGGCACTAAGTACGGCTGTGGGGTAGGAGGCTGTGGCTCCTGTACCGTCATGGTGTCAAGATACAACGTCAAGAACAAGACGATCCAGTATCCTTTGTGTTGGTCAGGCACCTGCCCGGGCACATCTGGGAAGGAGGTGAAGCTTCCCACTTCCCTGTCCACATGAGCTCCTCCTCCTCTCTCTCCAGGTGTCTATCACTTTCTCACTGCCTCCAGGCCTACTCTCTGTACAGCTTCCTAAGCTTCAAATCTTGCCCACCAATTTCTTTCCATCAGAATATATTTAACTGGGCTACTGTGCAACCAGAGTACCTGTACTTTTAAAAGTTTCACATGATTGAGAATCACTAGGCTTAACTACCTCATGGTGCTTTGCTTAAGTCGATATATCATTTCATGAGTATAAAGCTTCCTTTCCCTACAATGGGGGGGGGGGGGGGGGCGGGGGAAGGAGAATGAGGGTCTCTTGGTGATCCTACACAAACTCTGTATTATTTTTTTCCACTTCTCTCTATTATCCTACACCAGCCATATGTAAATCTTTTCTTGGACTCTTCCAGAAATTTATGGTTTTATATCTGTGTTATCTGTATTCTCAAAAAAATACAGTCTCATAACTCCTGGACTGAAATTACTCCCTGAATTATGTTACCCACTCCCTATGATTCCAGTGTATTCTCTTTATATAAATCCATCATAGCCATTATCCAGTTACTGCATGCCTGGTGCCCATCTGCTCTCTGTATGGGGCTGCTGTCACCACAGTAGAAGGTGTAGGAAGCATTGAAACCAGGATTCACCCCGTGCAGGTAAGAGTGTGCTGTGATTGGGAGTAGGTGTTGGCATAGGTATCCCACATAGTCTAATGTGCCCCAAATAGGCCACCCACTGTGAAATCCTTTGTAATTATAAATTCTCATTTTATGAGAGTCAGTGCTTCATAGGTAGGGATCTTCTCAGACATTGGTGTATAAACCAAGATCCCCTCATTGATTTTAATATATCTTCTCAGCCCCATCCTTGCCCTAAACTAGAACAAGGACAGTCCAGTGTGACAAGAAAAGAAAATTAGATAGGAAATCAAAAGTTTATAGAATATAGTAGCTGCCTATTTCAAAATTATTGAACTCTTAATAGGAGGCAATTCTGTGTACACATACTCTCCAGATGTTCCCCAGATGTCTCATGAGTAACTGAACACCATGCTACAACAAAACACAGATAAAATGACAGTGTCTACTAAAGTTTAGAGAACTCTTTTAGAGAAATGGCAAGGTTATTTTTATATACTAGGATAGGAACTTCTGCAGAGGTTAACTTTTTAAAGCAGTGTGTAGAAAGAAAATTATAAAGAGCCATAATTTCCCTTGAAATTCCTTCTCTTAGAAGATCGTGTTTAGAACGTGGAGGCTAAGAGCTTCCCCTGACCATATGCTACCATGGAGGTGCACTTGGTGATAGTGCATGTCTTTCATAAACGTAATGACTTTTTTTTCATCCAGTATCATTTATTTTTCCTGGAATCTGGATACAATTAACTGTAGTAAGAGTTGTCAATATTACTTAAGCCTCGTTTTAGGTCCTTTGAATTTCCTCAGTTCATTGTAAATGTAAGAATTCACAGTTTAGCAACTAGAAAACTAAAATTTGACATACCAACAAATTTACTCAATATTAATGTAACTATACACAATTTTATATGCAACACATGGACTTTAATACTACAGAACTTGGCCTTTGTAAACTGGCTTACACATCAACCAAGCTACTCTTTGCTTATCTGTCCTAACCTATGAAGCTCTGCACCAGCAGATCCCTCTCATAGCTTTTTACTATGTAAATAGATGATTCCTCCCCTTAAGACAAGGTGAAAAAACCCAAAGTTCCCACTCAGAAAAAAAACCATTAACCCCAAATTACCAAATTCTAAAGTTTCAGCAGGATTTACTGTAATGACTTTTAATCTTATTAAGACCTCACCCCGTGCCTGGCTCATCATGTTTACAGTTATGGCAGCACCTAATGCTGCAGCTTATAAGATTTCTTGCTGTCAAATCTTGACAGTACAGATGGTAGATTTGCTCATTAGTGCCCTGGAGCAAGGCTTGTTCTGTCTTGTGGGAGCTGACTGCTAAATTTTCAGGAATTTTGTGAGCCAGTCTTTAAATACAGCCAGTATTAACAATTAAACTATACAAACTTAAAATTAAATAAGTAATATTAAAAACAAAGGTAATAAATTGTCACGTCCTGCACGACACGGACAGTGGGAGAACGAGACAGGATGGCGAAGGGTTAAGAAAGAAAAGAAACAGCAGCCAATAGTTAAATGAGCTAGGGGCCAAGGGTCTCCAGCCTTGTGGACTGAGAGCCCCAAATCAGGCTAACATGCCGCTTTTATTTCTCCATGTACCCGGAAGTAGCATTGTTCTCTCCACAGTCTGTGAGTCTCATTCCTGAGAACTTCCTCAAGCCAGATTACCCATGCCTGCAAACTGCTATTACCGAGAGTCCACCCACAGCAATCAGACAAATGCTCTGCCTTCACACACCCATACGCATACGACCCCAGGGAGATAAGATTATTATGCTGAGGACAGATACTATCACATCATCAGGTCACTTCCCAAGCAGGTTGTGGGAAGAAATGTAGCTATAGAGGTAGAAAACCTCCAGTCTCTTTGGGGGCAGGTGAGGACCTATGCCCACCTCCCATCAGCCCCGAGATTTCTCCTGATGGCCACCATGTGACTGTGCCTGTCTTAGGTTGTTCCTTCCTCGAGGAATTTTACCTGTCATTGACTAACCAGCCATCTTTTGGGGCCAAACAGGGAGATGCAAGGTGTATGGGCAGTATCCTCAAAAGGGTCAGTTTAGGGGTAAGCGCGGGGGGACAGATGGCTGTGCAGCTGCGTGGCAACAATAAATATCAACATTCATCATCTCCTAATTATTTTACTATATTCTACTATCTATGCTTTTGAGATTATTTTTCTATTGTGTCCACACGGTGGAAATGCTATAGAATGGTATTCCACCGTGCGTTTCCTCCCTAAACCACATTGTGACAGCATGTTGGAAACTTGGCATCAGCAATGGTAGAAATATTTGTACAAATAAAATTGGTAGAAACTACCAATCAGGGCTTTTCCCCTCAGAGACCCAGTTGTTAAACATTTACCAGCACATTTACAGCCAGGTTTAAATGCAACATCTCAAACAACTTGTCATCTGCTAGATAAATGCAACACCACCATATTTTCCTCTAGCATTAGAACAGTGTCTGTCCTTACTTTTTTAAAAATAATCTACATTATTTTTAATGGTCATGTATGCCACTGTTGCATTAACATAATTCTTTTTTTAATTTTTTAATTTTAATTTTTCAATTGCAGTTGACATTCAATATTATATTAGTTTCAGGTATACAGCATAATGGTTAGACATTTACATAATTTATGAAGTGAACCCTCTGATAAGTCTAGTACCCATCTGACACCATGCATAGTTATTACAGTATTACTGAATGCCTGTCCTTTCAGTTGAGCCACAGGTGAAGGAAGTATTTGGCTTTCATCTTAGGAGTCAAGCTGTTTGAAAAATGTTGAGTCAACCAGTTGAGCACACTTTCAAGGGACACATGGGACAATTACACACAGAGGGACTCACAGAGTCATGTCTCCCATCTATATATGGTACTGAGTCTTGTATAGAGTGGACAAAGTACGTTGTCAATTCTCCCTCTCTTTTTATTATTTTGTTGTTGTATTTTTAAATCATTTATTGATTACACATGATAATGGATAATACACAAGCTTCTTTACCATCTATAATTTTATCTGGTACCATAATTCAATTTAGTTATATTGCATAAGATGTGCCAACAATCATTAATCACCAAATCAACTCCATGACTCTGCTTGGGTGACACTTTTAACAGTGGACTGCAGGTCACAACACAGTAACTGTCAATTTAATTACACCAAGGTTTCTGAAGACAATGGCTTCTACACCCAAGCAGGTTGAAAATAAATTTCAAATGGAACCTGGCATCACCCTGAAGTAATTCTAACTTCACACTGTTAGGGTTAATTTTCCAAGAAGGCTTCAGAGTAGACTAACTTTACGCAGCACATTTTTTAAAGGACACATTTATTCAATGCCATGACCATACTATTACATTTAGTAATCACATGGGTGCAAAAAAAAAATCTACATTAAAACTCTTTGTTGGAAGGCTTTACACTTTCCATAGAACAGAAACTAAAATAACCTGTTATACAATTAGTCATAAATACATTCCTCAAGTGTTTTTGCCCATACATGAAAGTATTGTCTAAAACGTGTCTTCATTGTAGCAGCTACGCCCTACAACTTTGTCTGAGTCCACAAATCTATTGTAACCTGTAGCTTCTCTGTCACACCTCTGGCTCTCCTCTCCTGCTAAGTTAGCTTTGTTTCCTGGCAGTAATTAAAACCTTCTGCCACTGCCTTCCAGCTGGCTGGAACCACCACAGCCACCTTGGTTTCATGGCTTGGCAAAGTTCTGGCCTCTACCACCAAAGCTTCTGCCTTCAAATTTTCTCCTTTCATGAGTCCAAAATTTGAAGATTGATTGTTGCAATTGCCAAAATTGCTTTACCTTCTGCCTTCCAAAATTGATTCCATCATTATCAAATCCATTATAGCCATGCCCACTGCTACCATATTGTCCACCACCACAACTGCCACCAAAGCCACCTCAACCACTGAACTTTCCTCCAGGACCAAATTTGTCATTCCCACCAAAATCACCTCCTTGACCACCACTGAAGTTTCCAGAGCCATCCTCTGTGGCTGGATGAAGCACTAGCCATCTCTTGCTTAGATAGGGATTTCTAAATAATCTCTTAGGTGATGTTCTTCAGTGCCTTCTTTAACACCACCAACAAAAATCTTTTTCACAATGAAGTGGGCACCAGGTCTTTGAGAATCTTCTGTTGACACAGCGCTCTTTGGTTCCACAGCTCTTCCATCCACCTTGTGTGGCCTTGCCTTCATGGCTGCATCCACCCCCTCCACAGTGCACATGTGACAAACCCAAAGCCTCTGCAGTGCTTGGTGTTTGGATCTCTCATCACCACACAGTCTGTGAGCGTTCCCCATTGCTCAAAATGGCTCCTCAGACTCTCATCGGTTGTTTCAAAGCTCAGACCTCCCATGAAGAGCTTCCACAGCTGTTCAGGCTCTTTGGGAGACTCTGACTTAGATGTGATGACAGACTGCAGGAGGGGAGACTTTAATGATGCTTACTCAGTGGTGTCCACTAACAAGAAAGGCTTGTTGTTGTATTTAAATGCGTCAAGTTGAATGTGTGTATATTAAATATATGAATGGTGCAATACCACTAAATAACACTTCACAATTTTCAAAGCATTATATAGATTTTGTCATTTAATTCATCAAAAAATCTATAATATGGATAGAGAAGAGGATGAAAATGACTTGTCAGAAACTGTTAAATGATTTGCAAATATTCATTCATTTATTCTCACAACCGTCCTGTAAAGTAGATACCATTATTATCCTAATTTTAAAGATGAACAAAAGTCAAGTAAATCACCTAAGGGCACACAACTAAAGAGGTACAGTAAGGACTGAAAATCACATGAGCATGGCTGCAAAGTATTTTATTTGTTCCCTAAACTACACTGCCTATTTCACAGATAAAGAAACCAGAATCTAGAAAGCAAAGTGACTTAATTAATACCTGCCACTAGGCTTTTCTTGAGGGGGGAAAAAAGCATATGATTTCCAAAAATAGAAATATTTTTCTTCCAGAGTGACATTTTTTCCCTTCAGTTATTTCTGGAAAGCTAAATATATAAGCTTCTCTACAACCCAGTGTCCAAAAAACAAGAGGCTTAAAGCATAAATGATGTACTATTTTCCCCCAGGAAAGACTTGCCAAGTGTCATGGCACGCAGTGTGGCTTCTGCAGCCCAGGGATGGTGATGTCCATCTACACACTGCTGAGGAACCACCCGGAGCCGACCCCTGATCAGATAACCAAAGCTCTTGGAGGTGAGCTGTCTTAGCCCTTTGCAGTCAGGAAAGTACCCAAGTAACTAGGGAAGGAGGTTCCAGTCCATGGAGAGAAATCATGGCACAGCTTTGGGTTTCCTCTTTAGTACCTATCATTACTCAAATTTTTTTCCAGGAAGTGATGCCTTCATTTTATTAGCAATGATGACAAGAATTGGGGCAATATTGGTTTCATTACAAATGTTTTTTCCTTAATGGGGCCCATTGTCACTCTCTGTAAGGGCATTCAAATGGGCTGTTTCTAATACTTTTAATATAATCTTTTCCAACTATGGAAATGTGGGTAGTATGGAAGAGCAAGATTCTGTAATTTTTAATTAATCTTTTAGAATTATTTATTAACTCTACTTATTAAAATTAATTTTACAAAGAGGATAAACTTTCAGATAATTTACATTTTTATATTCTGGTTGGGTTCATTATAAGATCAAGGAGATCATAGACAGCAATTAGTTATCACAAATAAGCTTGGTGAACAATTTAATATCCTATGACAAATAGTTATCATCAAATTTAAAACGAATAAATAAAATTTTCTACCAAAAAAAGCATGTTAACAAATGTAGTTTTCTGTAACAAACATAAATAGTTTCAAGGTAAGTGGTCACTAGTTCTTAGGAGAAAGCTGTGAAAGCAAACTCCTGAATGTTATGAGAAAGATCTTTGCTTCTTTTAATAAATAGACCTAGACAGAAATTCAGTTTTATGATGAAAAGATACAGACTAAAACAAAATAAAGTTCAACTTAAATTTTATGGTTACTGGTATATAAATAGTCTCTACAAGTTTCCTTTATCTTGCAACAACATCTTCACTCAAAATTTTTCAATTTCTTATTAAGTACTACTAAAACTTTGTGACCTGTGGTTTCAGTTATAGTTTTAACCAAACCTGAATGGATTTGAACAATAGATAATCTTTATTCAATGAAATAATCCACACTAATGAGGTATCTAGAGCTTTGAAAAGCAGAGATCTTGAGATTTGCCTTTACTTTTTGTTTGTCTCTTTGATTTTTTTTTTATTAAAGTTTATTGGGTTGACAATGGTTAGTAAAGTTAAGTAGGTTTCAAGTGTATAATTCTATAATACATCTCTATATACCACATTGTGTGTTCAACACCCAGAATCAGTTCTCCTTACATCACCATATATTTGACCCCTTTTACCCCCATCTACCACCACTCTCTCCCCTTACCCTCTGGTAACCACTAAACTATTATCTATGTCTATGAGTTTTTGTTTCTTTATTTGTTTGTCTTATTCCTTCATTGCTTTCAGTTTTATATCTCACATATCAGTGAAATTATATGGTTCTCGACTTTTCTGTCTGACTTAATTCGCTTAGCATAATAATCTCAAGATCCATCCATGTTGTCGCAAATGGCACTATTTCATCTTTTCTTATGGCAGAATAGTATTCCATTGTGCATATATACCACATCTTCTTTATGTAATCATCTATCAAAGGACCTTTGGTTGTTTCCATGTCATGGCCGCCATAAATAAAGCTGAAATGAACATCAGAGCACATATATTTTGTGGATAAATGTTTTCAGATTTTTGGGTATATATCCAGGAGAGAGAGATTGCTGGGTCATATGGTAATTCTATTCCTAATTTTTTGCAGAACCTCCACACTGCCTTCCATAGCAGCTGCACCAATCTGCATTCCCACAAACAGTGTATGAGGGTTCCTTTTTTCCACAGCCTCTCCAACACTTGTTATTATTTGTCTTGTTGATGATAGCCATTCTAACCGGTATGAGATAATATCTCATTGTGGTTTCTTTCTTTTTTTTTTAAGATTTTATTGGGGAATTGGAGGAGGGAACAGTGTTGGGGAATCGAGGAAGGGGAACAGACAAGTTGCAATTTTTTTGTTCTTCAGTCTAGTTGTGAAGGACATTGGTTCACTGACCCATGTTGACATTACCATTGCGCTCTTCCCGGGTGAGGCAGTCGATCACTGGCCATTGGACAGCTGCTCACGGCAGCTCACGCCAGCGGCCAGCCACTCACAGTAGCTGACGGCAGCCCACTGCAGCCCCACTGCAGCCTATGCCGTAGCCGGCGACTCACGACAGCCCAGCTCCAGCTCAAGCTGTTGTTCACTATCTTAGCTATAGAGGGCATAGCATCACAGGCCTTCATGTGGGATCCAAACCAGGGCCCTGCTGCTCAGAGCTGGCGCTCCCAAGCAAACTCTTAATCAATGTGCCACTCGGGCGGCCCTCATTGTGGTTTTTATTTGCATTTCTCTGATGATTAGTGATGTTGAGCATCTTTCCATATGTTTATTGGCCATTTATTTGGAGAAATGTCTATGCAGGTCCTCTGCCCATTTTTCAAATTGGATTGTATGTTTTTTTGTTGTTGAATTGTATGAGTTTCTTATATATTTTGGATATTAGCCCCTTAACAGAGGCATTGTTTGCAAATATCTTCTTCCATTCAGTTGGTTGCCTCCTTATTTTGTCAATGGTGCCTTATGCTGTGTAGAAGCTTTTTAGTTTGATACAGTCCCATTCATTTATTTTAGCTTTTACTTCCCTTGTCTTTGAGGGCAAATTCATAAAATCCTCTTTGAACCCAAGGTCCATAAGTTTAGTACCTATGTTTTCTTCTATGCAGTTTATTGTTTCAGGTCTTGTGTTTAGGTCTTTGGTCCATTTTGAGTTAATTTTAGTACATAGTGACAGATAGCAGTCTAGTTTCATTCTTTTGCACACGGCTTTCCAATTTTCCCAGCACCATTCATTGAAAATGCTATGTTTAATCCATTGTATGTTTTTTGCTTCTTTGTCGAAAATTATCTGTCCATATTTATGTGGTTTATTTATGGGTTTTCAGTTCTATTCCATTGGTCTGTGTGTCTGTTTTTCTGCCAATACTATACTACCTTGATTATTGTTGCTGTATAGTGCAAGCTGAACTCAGGGAGTGTGCTGCCTCCAGCATTATTTTTTTTTCTTAGGATTGCTTTGGCTATTTGGGGTCTTTAGTGGTTCCATACAAATCTGATGATTTTTCATTCCATTTCTTTAAAAAATGCCATTGGGATTTTGATGGAATTGCATTAAATCTGTATATTGCTTTGTTGTTTGTTTCTTTGAATATGCCCAGTCTTAAAGAGATGGATTATTTTCTCCCAGATTCGATGCCTGTAATTCACATAATGACCACCAGGAGATGGTGTTGTGAAGTTTGGATAAATTGATTAAGTAGATAGCCTTATCCTAGCAGTGGATAACTTGAAGAGTATATTTTAGTTCACAATCCATTTACTTGAGCTCTTTCTAGAATTATAATGCTAACCACACTGATAACCTTTATGTTCATATTTTAAGAAAAACAACAATATAAAATGAAATTCAAAGAAATGCAATTAAGTATGGCACGTACCTTGTAAAATGGTCAACAGATATAAATCACCACTTTATTTAATCTTATCTTTCCCTTCAAGGCTAAGGAAATAACTTTTTTGAAGTTTTATCCATTTGTTCCTTAGAATCAGAAGAATTTCTGCAGTGAGTGTTAATAGCATTCTCTTTGTGGGCCGTTTGTAGGGCTTAGTATTGATTATATGGCCAAGAACAAAAACAAAATTAAAAACTCTGACAGTAGCTCTCGCTAGGCTTTAATGTTTGCTTATAGTTTATCAGAGAGAAAGTGTCCATTGCCACTTAAATACTGCTATTTCATGCCATGTAGTTATGTTCTAGATATTTCAGCTCCTTTCCTCTACTCCAGAGAGTCTTAATTCAACCATCTTCTATATTCTTTCTTCCTAGCAAAAGGAAAAGTAGATTATGGAAACTGAATCCATTGTTGTGCATGCAGTTTCTTCCTAAACTATTTCTGTTCTATTACAAAAAGGAATATAACCATTAACCAAGTTTCCACATGACTCACTGGCATCAAATTTCCACACAACACTTTATTTCTAGGTGTTTAAACCTACCCAACTCACACATATACATTGCTTCTGAGATTTTAAAATTGCATTTGAACATAATTTTAAATTTATCTGGGGTATAAAAATAACACATTCCTATTAAAAAAATACAAAAACTTAAAAGACAAGGAAAAAACTCATTCATATGTCTGCCACAAAGAGACAACCACAATCAGATACTTCTATTTTCTTTCAGCCTTTTTATGCATAGTTTTTGTTTGCTTATTTTAAATACTTAAGACTATTATATACAGATGGTGCCAAAAAAATGTGTATATATTTTAAGAGAGGAAAAAACTGTATTAATTGTAATACTCAATATATACCTATAACAAAAGATGAATACAAGTCATGTGTGACTTCTGCAATTAACAAGAGGTCCCCAAAGTGGCAGCCGGTGTGAGCTGCCATGAGCCGCCGTGAGCAGCTGTCCAATGGTCGGCGAGTGATTGCCTCACCTGGGAAGAGTGCAATGATAATACCAACATGGGCCAGTGAAGCGACGTCCTCCACAACTAGACCAAAGAACAAAAGGACAGCAACTTGTATATTCCTCTTTCCCAATTCCCCAATGCTGTTCCCTCCCCCAATTCCCCAATAAAATCTTTAAAATAATAATAATAATAATAATAATAATACCAGATAGTTCTTAAACACCTACTGTGCTATACTGGGAGGGCTTAAAAACATCTAAGACAATCCTTGCCTTCCCTAGGAGCTTAGGATCCAATGAGGGAGGTAAGTCGTGTACATAAACGACCCTACTCCAGCATAGTCGATGATTAGGCCTGCAGAAGGATCCACACAGTGAGTGGTACAGCTCTGACTGGAGTGTTAAAGCAGACCCCGTGGAGAAAAGGGACTGAGGCCCTGACAAATGGATACACTTTGCCTAAGAAAACATTTGAGGGAGAAGAGGCTACATGAGAAAAGCTTAACAAAGGACTACATCTGAGATGTTATGGAGAATAACAGGTTATATGCATTAGGACCAGGGTGGATTAATGTATGAAGAGTTGATTGGGAAAACCTGTAGAGATCTTTGTGATATTTCAGAAAGAAAATGTAATCACAAGATCTATTTTTGAAGAATATCTCGGCCCCAAATAGCCATTTTGCTGGTTTAGGAAACAACAAAGAATGTAATTACTAATATAGCCATCCACTGAAAACATGAAGCACAAATATGCAATATGTTTCTATATCATTCATCAAAAACTGATCTCTTCTTAATCAGGAAATTTGTGCCGCTGTACTGGTTACCGACCAATCGTAGAAAGTGGAAAAACCTTCTCTGTGGTAAGTTAAAATGAAAAATATGTACATAAATTTTTTCAGCTGATTTAATACATTAGTATACCTTTGTATAATCATCTATTGCATTCAATTATCTCTAAAATAACCCCATGTTGACCTTTTTACCCACTAAAAGTTGTTGAATGCCACTGTTGGTATTGTTTTTAATAAACATTTAGCATCTATTTTGTTTATAGCCTTAAATTAGGCACTTACGTAAGAAGTATGTATATGGTCCATGACTTCAAAAGATGCAAACTCTATTGAAGAAAATGAAATACAGAGCTAAGAAATAATTAAACCACAATTGAAAAGCAAAATAATTAAAAGCTCAATATATCCACTATACCATGTGTATAAATTTTAAAACAATGTGGATTAAAGAGAATTAATGAGCAGGAAGAAAAGAAACAAAGCAAACTTATTGGAAAAAGGAAGTGTTGAACCAGATCTTAAAGCAAGTGATAGAAATGGATGGGTGAAGAGAAGCCACTAGAAAATTCCAAGTAAGAAAATACATGGATGTAGGAAAAAGAAATATGTCCAAGGGTCAGCTAAGAAATTGATGTGGCTGAGGCATTAAAGAGTAAAAAGGTATTATTTGGGCTAAGGAACTTAGACTTAACCAATATATAATCACCATCATCTATTCTCAAGCTAGGAGTAACATGAGAACAGTATTTCAAAAGAAAAATTCTTGGTACGTGCCTGTAAGAAGGATAAGCCAGGAAAGAAATGGTGGGGATGAGGGCTGGACTAGTGCAGTATCCTATACACGAGGGAAGGAGGACCTAGACCAGTGTGTGAGTGTGGGCCCAGAAAGAATACTTTCAAGAAGGAGATTGCCCGAATCATAACCTTCAGATGATAAAAGATGCAATGATAAAGAAATCCAAATCACCTTCAAAGTTGAAAGATCAAGGAATCAGATTAGAGGAAGGAAGTTGGAAAAGAATAATTTAGTGTATGGAGGAAGGGATAGTTTTGAGATATATTAAGTTTTCAGAAAGTTAAATATTAAGAGGAGACATACTTTTGACATGGTTTCAGTTAGGGTGTTTTCTCAGCTCCTAATTTTTATGATAAAAATTAATTGTATATAATTTTGGTTGACAAAAACAATTCAAGTTGCACAAGTTAATTTCAAATACTAATTTTTTGGGGAAAAAAAAAAGTACTTTTAGGCCGGTAATGAAGAATTCAAAAAGCTTTTACAAAATTTAGGCTAATTTATTTTAAATCCTGAGTAAGATACTACATAACTTGAACCATATGAATGACCAATATTCCACCACTTTTGATGTATAAAAACAGCAACTTCATATGATTCAACCTAGTATCATATAATTATTTTCCTGGAGACGCATATAAAAATAGATATTTCTGTCTCACTCACTCTGGGTCCCCACATTCAGCCACTTAAAGTTAGTTTCGTTATTGTACATAGCGTTGTCAAAAAATCCAAATCCCTTCTTAACTCTGTAAAAAATTACCTTAGAAGTAAAAATATCAGCTACCACTTCAGCACTTCCGATGTGTCAGATGCTGTGTGTGTCTCTTGCATATTTAAATCTAAGAAACTTGTTTGGGATGTGATTTATTTTTCTAATTTTACAAACTCAACCCAGCTAGTATATGTTAAAGTAGGACTTAGAGCCCAGGTCTCCTCCAGGTCTCCTTGGCTCCGTGTATGAAGTCAAACCATAGGTGTACAAATAGCCACAGACTCGTAGGCTGTGTCCGCACATGAAGAGGGCAAACAAGAGTGAAATATGTCTGAGAGTTGTAATAACTGACTAGTGAATTCAGGCCAAAAACACTACTTTGGGTCTGAATGAAATGTTCTGAAAATTAAAGTAAAATGGTTTGGGAATTGAATTATCCAAACAATTCGGAATAGCTCCAATAACATCCAAATAAACTCAAGTTTTCAGCTTATTTATATTTGTGTGTCATTATTACAGGACATCATTAAAGATACATACTGTATCACCCTTACAATAAAGAAGAGCCATCTTTTTTTATTTTTTAATTACCAACTATACTCCATTTACCTCACTTTTAAGTAAGAAGCCTTAGCTGCTGACCTCATCCCCCTTCTAATTCACTTGGTCTTCCCCTGATACTTAAGTGACATCATTAAAAATATCCTATATTGAGCAGAGTGCACACTTCTTGTAATTTTCTCTAATTGTTCCTTGATGGAATAGCTTATCTCCACCCAACCCTATTACAGAGTCCTTGAGACAAGGACACACTCAATTACTTCTTCCATAGCTCCTCTGGGGCCTTGAAACTGCCGGATACTCAAGCTAGTATTTTAAAAATCAACCAATGAATTTGTTTTGAATTGCATTACTTCCTAAGGAATCAACTGTGTGTCAAATGAAAGGATCAGGAAAATGTTGCATGGATCAAGAAAAGAAGTCTTCTGTGAACAGAGAGGAGAAAGTAAGTATCTGGTGTTCCACTTCAATGGGATTGACTGAAAAATACCTGCAAAAATCCAAATTTCTTCAAGCTTTCTACTCTTTTCAGTGAGTAAAGTACAAAGTTTGTGAATTCAGGGCATAAACAGCCGTAAAACTCTCCAAAATTTAGCAAGGCCATGACTTTCATGAGGCTGGTCACCACAGAAATCTGTTTGCCTTCAGAATCATTACAACTTTCTGTGTCTTATCTGGTTTTACCTACCCACCCACCCCCTAATCAAGCACTTCAAGAGACGTTAGCAATGGTGCATCTTGATGCTCGTGTCAAATAAATATCTGCAAATAATACCTGAGACCCAGCACAGAAACGTAGACTCTATTCTTGGCACCAAAAGAGGAAGTCCAGTGTCCTGTAAATCTGCGGGGGAAACCATCACTGTCTCTGAGGGTGGGAAGAATTCTACTCAGGGATGCCCTGTGGCTCTGGTACCTCCATTTTGTGTCTGGGGTGTCAGAGGTTTAGGCCCTGACTCTGGAGTCTCACAAGTAGAGACTCCTGTACATCTCTCAGAAACTCTAAAGTTGCATTTGTATTTTGTTTTGTTTTGTCCAGATATGTACCAAATTGTATAATGAAGATGAATTCCAGCCCTTCGATCCATCCCAGGAACCTATATTTCCTCCTGAACTAATAGTAAGATACTTTACTTTTGTTGTTTCAGAGCATGATGTGGTATAAGCTCTTTTGTATTACGCTATGGAATTAATGAGTTTTAGGCATTAAAAGCTGGAATTGTGTCCAATACGATAACCCATTTTTAGAAACTTGTTCAACTCTACTATAAGTAATTTGAAAAAGCCTAGAAGAGTGGTGCTGCCAGGGCCTCAGAGATGCTTTGATTCACCCCCTCAGTTGAAGATGCTGAGCTCAGACAGTATAGGTGACCTACCCCAGGTCACACAGTTACACTGTGAGACGTGTTTAAGGCATTTTTGTAAAACTGGTAAAGTAAAAAACAAATGATACTTATTATAATGGAATTATATTATTCTTATTATTAACCTCTGTGATTTCCTACTCAGTGAGGAGAGAGAGAATATAGTATAAATAGTGTGATATGGCCATCATTCTAGTCCATGACTACGCCTTGGAGAGAGCATGAGATGAGGGATATGATTCTACTGGCCTCTGAGAGGTTCTCAGACCCAACACATCCCTCAGAGTGTGAGAACTTGGACATACCTAGTATTTAAAGATTATATGTATACATACAGATACAGATACAGACATATGTGTATGTGTACAGATTTGTAAAAGAAAAAAATCCATTTATACTATACCTGGTGAATGATTTAAGGGATTTTTTCCAAGAGTAATTTTGCCTGTAAGCAATTTTTGTCCTACTGAAAAACCTAATCCCCAAAGATGAGGCCCCTCTGAGTCACTGTTAGGGCAGAACCAGAACAAGATGCCTGACTGTTTAGTTCCAGGCTAAGACACTTTCATTACACCCTTCCTCCTCCTCTTCACATATTTCACAAATACAGATAGAGTTTGCTCTATTCTATATGCAGATGTTGATGGACAGACACCTATTATGATGTTTATTCAATGGTGCCCACATGAAAATTATCAATCTAGTTTCAAACAAGGCCACCCTTTCCTGATCACTATAAGTTAGGTCGCCTCAGAAACATAAAACGACCAGCAGGCCATTTGGACACCCAGAGCAGTGAGTATGTTCATAACATGTAGTTCAACAGTCTGACTTGAAAGCCTGTTGGTTTTGCTTCTGTGCAGAGAATGGCAGAAGATCCAGACAAGAGAAGGCTGACATTCCAAGGGAAGAAGACTACCTGGATAACCCCTGTGACCCTCAGTGACCTTCTGGGACTGAAAGCCGATTTCCCGGAAGCCCCCATTGTTATGGGGAACACTTCAGTGGGTGGGTGGTTTTTAAGTATGTTCTTTAGGTAACCCAAACATCTGTGTCTCTTTTTAAACTCTGAATAAATGCAATTCATTTTTTTTTTTTTTTTTTTTTTTTTTTTAG